AGAAACTGGATTTTATCAACACTTACAACATAGATCTATTTGTCATTAGTGACTCACATTAATCAGCCCACAAAGACTGATGGAAAAAGCCAGAACATCTATATATTAGTAACTGTCCTGAACACTGGAATACTTGCTTAGAATATGAAATCTGAGTAAGGATTAGAGGAAGGAGAGTCATGTGTCATCCATCTGTGAGAGGGAAATGGATGGAGTTGGCGTTAGTGTCGGGAACTGCACATAACCTGCAGCTGGGATTATTGCTGGGCCAGCTTGGCAGTCAGCTACCATTCACTGGAGGTGCCGAGGGGTGTTTTGTCACAGAGGTAGTCTCTTCAGCTCAGTGTCTGCTTAGAGATGATCCATAAAGGAGATATAGCTATCCCAAGGATTAGGATGCTTGCATCTGTAGTCAGGGGTGCTCTCTTCATTGGATAAGGACAATGATAAATCATATCTAAAAAGTTGATTGATTGGATGTGAGGTATGAGGGAAAAGTAGGAATCAAAGATGACCCTGAGGTTTATGACTTGAGTAAATGGATGAATAATGGAGCCATATACTGAGGGAAAGAACAGTAGATCCCGAGTTCACTCTTGGACGTACTGGAGGATTTGGGAATGCCTCTGAGACATTCAATTTGAAATGTCCTGTAGGCAGTGACCTATTCAGATCTGTTATCAGAAATGTGATCTGTGCCAGAGGTATAAATGTGGGATTTGTCAGTGTATAGATAACTGAAGTCATGGGAATTGATGATATTTTTGCAGGGAAAAGTAGAGAGAACAAAAAGTGGAGGGCCTAGGACAGAATTCTGAGGAACACCAACATTTAATTGTTGGGTAGAGGATGAGAAGCTGACATAAGAGACTAAGAAAGAATTGCCAAAAAAAGCTGAAAGAAAGTCAGGAGTGTGCTTACATGGAAACCAAAACCAGAAACTATTTAAAGAAAATCATGTAGGTGCTTTGAATGGTGATGTAATTTCCAAGTATAAAATGGCTCAGCATTGCTTAGTGAAGTGTTTTGGATTTAGCAAGATTCCACCTGGTGCAGACATGGTCACCGGCAGCAGCAAGTCCTATTAGGGACTTGGAGGGGTCCTGGAAAAATCCTCTGCATCATGCCGCATCTATCCCCCATGAGTGGGTGGGAGGGAACATTCGTTTGGACTAAATTGTTGCATGTTTTGCTGTATAAATAAGGGGATGGGGAACTTAATTGGATTAACAACAACAAAAGAACCAAAAGCGACATTGGAATTTAACAATATAAAGTTTTCCGGTGACGTTAACAAAGCAGTTTCAGCGTAGTGATAGCGTTGGTATGAGAGGGGGCTGAGGAATCAAAGGCTCAGTCCCAGAAAAGAGATTGAGAGAGAGAGAGAGAGAGAGAGTGTGTGTGTGTGTGTGTGTGTGTGTGTGTGTGAAATGCAAATCTATGTAACTTAACATGAAGGGAAAACTGGATCACAGGATTGCAAAATACCTTTTAAAAAGCTATTGTGTTCTTAGACTCTTAACTAAAGAGAACAAACTGGTATTTACCAGAGAGGGGAAGGTAGGTGGGGGATGGGTGAAATAGGGGATGGGGATTAAGGCACCCGCTTGTTGTGATGAGAACACCGGGCGTTGCATGGAAGTGTTGAATCACTAAACTGTACACCTGAAACTAATGTTACACCATATGTTAACTAATTGGAATTTAAATAAAAACTTTAAAAAAAAGCTATTGTATTCTCAGCTTTAGAGATTGCACTTTAGCATGCTAGTTTGGTCTTTCTTTCCAAGAACCATCAGTGATGTCTTTTAAAAAATGTTTGGAAATGCTAGACTGTTTCTGGGAATATTTGATGCCCAAGAAATATGACCTGAAACATTGACACAAGAGGAATGTTGGTGTCAGTGCTTAAAAGTGAGTAGCTACATATGGCCTGTCTAGATTAAATTAAGATCAAAGTTCACAACTGAGAAATATTAAACACGCACTTAGGATGACATCTAACAACCTCAGTCTGTGGGATGGAACTTTATTTTTTTTATCTTTTTAAAAAGATTTTATTTATTTATTTGACAGCGAGAGACACAGCGAGAGAGGGAACACAAGCAGGGGGGGTGGGAGAGGGAGAAGCTGGCTTCCCGCCAAGCAGGGAGCCTGATTGCGGGGCTCGATCCCAGGACTCCAGGATCATGACCTGAGCTGAAGGCAGACACTTAACGACTGGGGCACCCAGGCGCCCCTGTGGGGTGGAACTTTAATAAAATTAAAGGACCACGTGCTGCACTCAGCCACATACCCAACTCCCACTGCTATCTAGAAGCATCATTTTTGGCTTAAACCAGCAAACAGAAATATAAAAGCATGCTGTTCCTTTGCATTCCATTTGGGAACAAGTTAACTTTGAAAAACTCCCAGAGGTGTCAGATTCATGCAGGACCAGGTAAAGAGGAAAATCCAGATGCTTCCATGAGCAGTAGGGTAGTCAATATTTTCTCCTCTTGGGGTGCAGAGGGTCCCTTTATTTTTCCTTAAACAGTCATCCTCACACACAATTTAAAGCAGCTCTCCAGACTTCACATTCTCTTTCATCTTTTCTTTCCATAATTAAGGACGGCTGTTTTTAACCCATTTCCCAAAGGACAAAGGGTCTGGTAAACCAGGATGTAGTAGCTACCGCCGTGCCTGAACCCTAAAAATGCAATAGCTACTAACTTGTTATCCTGTTGTATGGTTTCCATTTGTCTCTGGGCAAGCAGGCAAATACTAATCTGTACTGAAGACCTGAAGGTATGCCAAAGGAAAGGCCTGCCTCAATGCTTTGCTTTTCTGAAAAAGCGGAGGACCCCACCATAATGGTGTAGATTTGAAGACCAGAGGCTTTGTCATCAGACAGATCTGGTTTTAAATCCTGGTCCTGTCATTTGTCAGCTGTGTAATCTTGAGAACTTTGCTTTGCTTCGCAATTCCTGTTTTTTAATCTGCGTAATGGGGACAAATAGGGTTATTGTGAGAATTCAGTGAGATAATTTATATAAAATCCCCAACATAATATCCGACACAGAGTAAGGACCCTCAGTCTATTAGTAGGCTATTAGTATTAGTAGATATATTAAAAGAGCTCAAAAATTTATCATAAATTAAAAATAATTGGCAATATGATTTCTAATATTATAAGTGAAAAGTTATTGGAATATAGCTTTCATGAATGAGCCTCATATATAATAAAAATTTTCTAGAATTTAAAGAATCTTTCAAGAGGCCTTGATTATGATTTTTAAAAAGCAAGGATTAAGTGGCCCTTTAATAAGACAGGCTTTTACCACTACAAAATGAACCCAAGAAACCTTCATCCAAAAATTATCACAGCATCTGTTTTAGAAACTCAGGCTGAGACACCATGCCAACCCTGCCCCAACCCTGCTTTGCAAATGTGGTGGTTATCAAATTGAATAAAATAAAGATCAATATGCTATGATAAAAGGCATTTTAAAAATCCAGAACAGAAGCAGTAAATAGCATTTAAATTTTTATGGTAATGTAAATGTTGAAAATTCTTAAGATCAGAATTTTTAAAATACGATTTTCATTTTTAAAGAAGAGAAAAGAGGAGAAAGATAGTTATGGAATGAAGAAAATAGAATGAATTTAGTTAACACTATTAGATATATTTTATTTTCTTTAATTCCTTTTAAAATTAATTGACCTATATCTAACTCCATTTAATGTAGCTGCCATTGGGGTCCCTGGGTGGCTCAGTCGGTTTAGCAGCTGACTCTTGATTTCAGCTCTGGTCGTGATCTCAGGGTCCTGGGATCAAAACCCCGGTGGGACTCTGAGCTCAGTGGGGTCTGCTTGTGATTTTCTCTTTCCCTCTCCCTCTGCCCTCCCCCCATTCTCTCTCTCCCTCTCTCAAATAAATAAATAATAAATATTAAAAAAAAATAATGTGGCTGCCATTGACTAGAAATGCACAATTCTCTCATTTTCTATTTTCATTCATTTATTCATTCATTTAACAAATATTTATTGATAGCCAGATTAAAGCTTGGTTTATGTGTTGAGTAAAACAGTGTTTAATAGTAAAACATCTCCTTAACAATAGAGTATCTTCATACATTAGCAAAAAATATTAATACTTAAATCATTTTTTAGTGTTTGTGATTCATTATGACCTCTAAAAGGCAGATCTTAGAGAATGAAGGTCAAGGTATTTTATATCTGTGACACAAAATAATGTGAGAACAGACTCTAAAGAATTTAACTTGAAGTGGTTGCTCTTATTGCATACAAAACAGGCTTTGTCTCATTTTACTTGGCTAAGGGTGAAAAAGAGGATAAGCAACAGTATTGTCCAGAGGCCAAAAGATCCTAGGGGCAAAAAATTACAGATGGCTTCACAGTACAGCTCAAGTTCCTGGCATTTAGTAAAGGACGGATTTAGGAATACAGTAAATTTTTGTTTATCTTGGAATTCAAACAACCAGCATATGCAAATAGCTGGGATATTTTCCCTTCTTACTCTACACTCTATTTTTATGAAAAAAAAAAAAAAAAGACAAATAGGAAATATGTTGTCGCCAGAATTTTGGTTTAAAAATCAAAAGAAAAATATCAAAACCAGTATATGCCATAGGGTCAGTAGCAATTCAGTGTAATTTCTCACATCTCCCATACAGCTATACACTGAAAACTGTTCAGGGTCAAATAAATCAAATTACACCAGACTAACATTTACTGTGCATTTATTTACACAGGCGACAAGTACATATTGAGCCCCATGTGCCAGGTATACAATAGACTCACAACACAATTTGGTGCAAAGCATTTAGGGAATGTGCATGGATTAGAACCTTCATGTAAAGAAATAATGAGAGGGGCGCCTGGGTGGCTCAGTCGTGAAGCGTCTGCCTTCGGCTCAGGTCATGATTCCAGGGTCCTGGGATCGAGTCCCGCGTTGGGCTCCCTGCTCCTAGGGAGCCTGCTTCTCCCTCTCCCACTCCCCCTGCTTGTGTTCCCCTCTCTCGCTGTGTCTTTCTCTGTCAAATAAATAAAATCTTAAAAAAAAAAGAAATAATGAGAGAAAAGGTTGAGAAAGTAGTTTGGAACCTAACTCTGAAAGACCTTTGACTATCAGGCAAATAATCATGGAAGAATTTTTGAGGCAAGGAATGATATGATCAAAGAATGTTCTAGGAATACTGTACTCATTTGGAAGGAGTAACAGGCTTGTGTTCTCCCTCTCCCCTTACATGGGACCATTGCTGAAATGGGCAGAGGACCAGGGAGTGGTGTTCTGGGAGCTTAGTGATTATTATTATTTTTTAAAGATTTTATTTATTTATTTGATAGAGAGAACACAAGCAGGGGGAGCAGGAGACAGAGGGAGAAGCAGGCTCCCTGCTGAGCAAGGAGCCCAATGCGGGACTTGATCCCAGGACCCTGGGATCATGACCCTAGCCGAAGGCAGGTGCTTAACCGACTGAGCTACCCAGGCTCCCCAAGGGAGCTTAGTGATTACTAACAGGATCCTTCATCTGAGGTGGTCAGTGGATTTGCTGGGTCAAGAGAAGTAAGCCAAGTCACAAATCATAGAGGAAAGTTGAAGTTCAGTGTGCCAGGTAAGTGGTCAAGGGGTACAAAATCAGGAACAGACCAGGAACAGAAACAGAAGCTAAGGTATGAACCAAGAAGTTAAAATGAGAGAGGTGAAAGTGAATAAAAGAAGTCAGAGGTGGAAAAGAAAGGAAAGGAAAGTGTTGGGGAGCAGTGAATGGGCAGGTCTACTTGTCTTGAAGGGCCAGGAATGGTCGCATGGTAACAGAAAATAAGGGGAAAATGGGAGAGATACCATATAGAAGACACCATTCAGGGTATCTGATGACACATCTCTTTTCTGAGAACATAAGAATGGACCCTGGATTGCTATATTTGCATTACATGAGTCTGTTTCTTGTCCATAGCTGATTGCACCAAGGTAGACACTTGACCTAGACTGGGCCAATCATATCCTTTCCTGAGAATTTCCAATTTGGATTGAGACATCTGGTAAGTTTGAAATCTTCCCATGAACAAAGATGCTATTAATTTGAAAGCTATGTTGGCTACATAAAAATAAAAACGTTGATGGCAGCACTTGGACCTCACCTGAGACACCTTCTAAATTATCTAATAATATAAATTTGTTAGTAGGTACTGTAAACAATTAAATAACGAAGATTATTGTCATTCCTGACTATATTTTATTATAGTTCATTGTAATGACAATATCAATCGTTTTTTGGCATCTACTAATGTACCAGGTATGTGTTAAGTACATTATTCACATCTCCTCTATAATCCTCTAGTAACTCTGGAAAGCAATTGCTATTATCTTATGTATTTGTGGTTCATAGATTAATTGGAAATATTTCAGTAGTTGGAACTTTACTTTCTGAATGCAACCAAGGTAGCCTTAACTTTCCATGGCAAAGTATCCCCAGGGCATTACTATCCCTATGGATTAGTAACCCTGATTTTGGTCGTTTGCCCTAGCTCTAACTTCAGCATCCCTTCAGGGCTCAATTTCTGGAATCTCGGCAAAGATAAGAAGTACCCAATCTGTACATGAACATATAATAAAGTGGAGGTTTCATTAGAAACACATATATTGTCTGTGTCCAGGCGGTGCCAACTTCCTGGGCTTATAAAATGGCACAATCACGGAAAACACCAAAAGTCAGGCAGTTTTAATCATGCTCACAAACATGAATGGAGGAAAATTCCAAGAACCTGGACAAGAGATCTTATATTCCTGCTTTTTAAAAGCTGGACTTGTCTCAGCCTTGCTATGCCTGTGGGGCTTGGTACAGAAAGCTGTGCCTGACACATCTCATCTTTAATTCTTTTCTATCTATTTCCTTTCTAAATAAAGGACATGAGTTATTGTAGCCTCAGTCATTTATATTCCAGGAGTACATTTCGAAAAGAACAGAGCTTTTGTTTTCCTTGTCCATCCTGTGGTCGAGGTACTAATGAGCAGGGAAATAACCTAAAGGCAACTTGCACTAAGAGAGGAACAGGGATTTGAGGTCTCCAAATTAGCTACAGAATTAATGCTTAGCCCTGAATAATTGCAAGTTCTATGAATGTAAAAGAAAATTATATCAAAAGTATTTATTTATTAAAGAGTTTTAATGCTTTATGAACTCCAAAGGATTTTTATGGAAGAGCAATGGACTTTTTTTTTTTTTTTTTAGCCATGAATCCTCCTTTTTTCTCCCCCCTAATGAAATGCTTCATATACGATGAGTATCTTCCTGACAATGAAACTATAACTATGTATTTTGGAAAAATGTGTGATAATGGGAATTAGACAGTTTATTCCTATAGCAAGATAGTCTGAGAATTTTAAAAGGCAATAGGAAAAAAACAGCACATATCATGTGGGGAAAAGATGAAATGGAGAGTAATTAATTAAAATGTATTAGTAGAAGTGGGAATAATCTTTTAAAAAATATCAGGAAAAGTCAATTAAAACTTATTTATTAGAATGAAAATACATCAGTCTCATACACTTACTTGAACTTAGTTCTCTTTCCTTACAAGGCAATTAGTGTCAGAATCTCCAATATTAAGTTGCTCTTATTCTTTTTTTGAGAGGATCAGGCCATCTAGTGGTAAGGAGTCTACCTATCACATGGGATGGTGTACATTCACGGGTTAACGTTTGATGCTAAATGAGGGTGTGGATTATTTTGAGCGGGTCACTTAACTTTTTACAGCAAAGAACTGTCACACGGATATTTGGAAAACTATCTTGTTTTTCCTAATGTAGAGAAAGGGAGAAATTCATCACAAATTTTGAAAACAACACGAAAGTAATATCTAATTTGATAGTAGAAAGAAAATTTTAAAATAATTACTTTTATATTCAAGAATCAGTTTCATATGACTGAGTTCCTTTGATCAAAATAAATGGTGGAGCATCCAGGTGGCTGCCTAATGGCTAAGATTTAGTCCTGATGTATTTTTTATTTGCATTATTTACTCATATCATCTAAAAATTACAATTCCAAATAACCAAGGTTTATTGATGAATTTAGCAAATAGTTCTTATGTGCTGGGGATAAAAATGTAACCAATTTATCTAGCAGTTTGAAGTCATTGGGAAATAAACATGAAGTGGTTTTATTTTTCTCTAATCATTGATCTCTCAACAGACTCTTAGGCAAATACATAACTTTCCAGTCAACTTCAGTTAAAACTCTATCTCCCTCCAATCACCCCTGGCTTAATTGTGGCTCAAAGGACAAGGACAGGGGGTTAAGAGCTGCCTTTTTACGGCTCTTCCTTTCTTCTCCCTTTTCAAGCTGTCTTGGGCTTGAGGGCAGGGAGAAGAGGAAAAGGCCATCAGTCTTTTTATTTAGTTGAACCCATTACTAATACTGCGGTACATCACTGCTTCTCTGGTGAATGTTGACCTGGGCATTTGTGCTCTCTATCTGACAGCTGTCCATCTGCTGGTTCCAGCAGAGGCACTTGTGGTTGCCTTCAGAGGAACTGCTTCCTTGACAGCCTCAAGAATGGTGTACACCATTGCTTCTTGCTGCTGGGGTCACTTCAACCAGCAGAATTCCCATCCAGCTGGGGTACAAGCAAGATGGCTAAAGTCCTATTCTCCTGATACATGACCCATGAGGAACTCATGCATTTTTGCTATTCTTACTCCCTCAAAACTCTTTCTCTCTATCCCCCTCCAACTGCTTTTTTCATGCTCATGTAGGATCATGTACAATCAAGAATACTACTGCCTAGGGAGATGCCCACTTGGAGAATGAGATTCCAGTCTCTCTGTGTATCATGAGCACCCTCGTCTCTATAAGTTACAGACTTCATTAAGTTACTAACTCCAAAAGTTATTATAATTATTGTTATTGTTATTATTATTTTTATTGATCCATTCATGGCTTTGGGGTATGGTATGCCCAGAGAATCTCCAGGTCACAGCACAGGAAGGCAGAACTCAGATGGAATCTGGAAGAATCACTGAGTTGAGAAGGTAGCTAGAACTGAGATTCCAGGGAAACCAAGGCAGCTAGAGTTCACAGGAAAGAGTATTAGAGAGAAGAGAGATACACAGAGAGAACCCCAGAGACCTGCAGAGGGTCTGCTCAAATATTCAGCTGTGTACTGATAAGCACAGCCATGAAAGGAGAAAATTTTATCTTTGGCCAGGAAGCATGTGCCTTCGGCTGGGAAGGAACCAATCAAAAGGATTCAAAGTAACAGGGCTAGGAATAATGCCCATGCCCCACCAATAAGACAGGAAAACCTCAAGGTTTAAAGGGGACTAGAGAGTATATAAAAGCTATTTGCCTTGGGGCACCTGGGTGGCTCAGTCTTTAGGCGTCTGCCTTCGGCTCAGGTCATGATCCCGGGGTCCTGGGATCGAGCCCCACATCAGGCTCCCTACTCTGCAGGAAGCCTACTTCTCACTCTCCCACTCCCCTTGCTTGTGTTCCCTCTCTCGCTGTCTCTCTCTCTCTGTCAAATAAAATCTTTAAAAAAAAAGCTATTTGCCTTAATAGTGGGGCATAATTAGCTCTAAACTCAACACTACTCTGCTTCTGTCTACCAATCTTATAAGCAGGACACAAAAAGATTAAATTGTTTCCAAGTAATTTAGCCTGTGTCCTAGAACAAAGCCCAGCAATATTATGGAAATACAAAAATATCTAGCATCCAAAAAGTTAAAATTCACAATACACCCAATCTAATATTACCAGCTATATAGAGAAGCAGGAAGATATGGCCTATAATAGGGAGAAAAGTAATCAATTGAAACTGACCCAGAGCTGACAAAATTAGAATTAGCAGACAAAGACATTAGAACAATTGTTATAATTGTATTTCACATCATCAAAAAGTAAAATGGAGACCCTGAAGATACAAAAAGGCCCAACTCTAACTTCTAGAGATGAAACAGTATGTAAAATAAAAATATACTGGATGGAATTACAGTGGATTAGGCAGGCCCTGCAGAAGAAGAAATTAGCGAACTCAAAGATAGTAACAGAAACCATCTGAAATGAAACAAAAAGAAAAGAAAATTTTAAAAAGTCCATCAGGAAGTCTAATATACATGTAATTAGAGTCTCTGAAAGATAAGAGAGTGAGGAACAGAAAAAATATTTGAAGAAATAACAACCAAAAAATTTTCAAATTTGATGAAATGTATTAACCAACAGAACCAAGAAGCCCAGTGAAGTCAAAGTACAAGTAACAAAGAAAATTACACAGAGGACCATCATATTCAAACTGCTCAATCCCAGTGACAAAGAGAAAAATCAAGAAGGAGCCAAAGCCGAAAAAAAAAGATACCTTACCTACAAAGAAACAAAGACAAAGATTACAGCAGACTTCTCACTGGAAACAGTGCAAAAGAGAACACTCTGGAGCAACATCTGTAAAAGGGGAAAAAACTATGATCCAGAATTCTACACCCAGTGAAAATATCTTTCAAAAACAAAGGCAAAACGAGAACTTTTTTAGACAGACCAAAGCTGGAAGAATTCATCACCAGCAGACCTTCACTGCAAGAACTGCTCAAGGAAGTTCTGTAGGCAGAAGGACAAAGCTACAGCTGGGAAATACAGATCTGCACAAAAGAATGTAGAGCAGGCGGAAAGGGCATCTCCCCTGAAAATATATGTTTTTTCCTTATTATTTGACCTCTTTAAAAGATAATTGCTATGCAAAAATAATAATATATCATGGTGACTATAAAATAAGTAGCAATAAAATGATGGCAGCAAAAGCACAAAGGCTGGGAGGGGAGAGGTGGAAATACAATATTCAAAGTCTCTTACACTGTGTGAAATGCCAAAATATTGCTTGAAGGCAGACTGTGACATGTTAAAGATGTACACTATAAACCCCAAAGCAACCCTAAAATAACAAAAGATAACCAATAAGCTAACAAAGAGGTAAATTGTAAAAATATAACATGTGCAATTAATACAAAAGAAGGCAGAAGGGGAGGGTAAAGGGAACAAAAAATAGATGGAAGAAATAGAAAACAAATAGCAAGATGATAGATTTGAACCTTATCATATCAATAATTACATTGTAATTTCTTACTTGTTATGACAAAAATCTTAAATAATATGGTGATTTTCTGCTGTATATCCTGCGAGGAAAAATAAGGAAGGATTGAGTTAAGCCCGTCTATCTAAGTGAGGAAGAAAATTAGGGGAGATTTTAAGCAATGATGTTCTGAGTTGATGTTCAATAAGGAGCTCTAGAGAAAACAGGGCAGAAGTTAAAAGCAAGGCAGCTGCAGAATGGTGCAAGAAAAAGGGGAAGTGGTGAAGATTTTTTTCTAAAAAAAGTAACTTGGGATGGGGTAAGTTTAATTACAAGTAAGAAAGAAAGAGCCAAGAGTCAGTATATTAAAATTTCTAGATAATATTGTAAGGGTAAGCTGGGATAGTGCTTATCATTGATATGTAAGATTTTTTTTTTCTAACTTGTCCTTCGCTTTACTCTGGTTTTATAGCCTTGTTAGGCTGATTCATTTCATTTAATTATCAAATTTATAGAATATCATTAAAATAAAGAGTATTAAAAAGTGTGATATGACCTTCATTTGGCTCTTTCCAGTAGATAACTTATTACCTCTGATGACAGCAAAATGCATTACAGGGTAAAATTTAAAAGCCAGAGGAAAAATTAAACTATTGTTGTTTAATCCAGAACCTTAGAAGGATTGAGTGGATATTACATAAAGTCCCAGGATTTTTGTTTGTTTGTTTTTGCATTTCCCCTCCCAGTGCTAGTCCTGGTTCCGTATACGTGTAAATATACAATAAATTATTTTTGATAATTTAATGTTGAAATCTGATGCTTCCGTATATTCTCTAGAAAATGACAGGTTTCTCATGTTCTTCATATCACATGTAAAAAATGCTAACTTAGTATAGACACAGAAGTTACACCTTTATAAATATATTAACACTTAAGTTTTGTTTGTTCTTCTCCTCTGACACTTCAGACACTTGAAAATAATGGTAACAACAATACTGTTACTGAGCTTTCCCACTGCAAGTTACTGAACCAAGCTCTATGTAGGTGATCTCATTTCTTCAGCGACACTTTTTAGAGGTAGATATTACTTCTTCCATTTATAGGTGAGGAGAGAGAGGCACAGGGAGGGGCAGTGATTCATCTGGGTGCACTTGGCGCGCACACAGGTCTGGGTAACAGCAAAGCCCATGCTCCTCGCCAATCCCCATGCTCTTCTCTGTCCCTCTCCCAGTAAGAAGTACAATGACGAGTTTGAAAGTCCAATTTCAGAGTATAGTAAGTAAAGAAATCAGATGCTCATTAAGCAGAATTATTTCAGGTCTGTGAGAGTTTCAAGGATTACTTCGGCATAATAATAATTCTGTGGGTAGAAGAAGGAAGAACCTCCTGATGGCCTCAAAAGAAAGTAATTGATGTGAATCTGGCAAGCTCCTACTATGCTCAAACCTTGGAAAACACTATTGCAAGTTACAGTTTTTCCACAATGTAGCTGAGTTTATTTAACTTTAATTTGTAAGAAACCCCAAAACTATGAACTTTTCAGTCACCAAGATTATGGATTTTCAAAGCTTTTCTGTTGTATTGCTTAGGCCAAAACTAAGCTATAATAAGGTTTCTGCTTATTTTTCATTCACTTTCAATAAGAAAAAAAAGGTTGAGGATTTATAAGAAAATTATTTTAAAACCCAGGATAGAACAAAGAAGCACATTCAGAGAAAATCTGCTTTACCCCTAAATCCAACAGCTTGTCAGAAGTATACAGAAATCTCAGCAGGCAAATGTGAAATGTTTTTGCCATACCCAGCAGACCATGTGCTGAAACCCTGAGACATAAAGTAACTCATCAAAGCAGGAATCATCGAGAGAGAGGAAAATAACCAGTATATCACTTAAGGCATTGGGCTTAAAATATTAAAGATGAGGCAATACTTTAGAAAGGACTCTGTGGCTATTGTTAAAATGGAATTTGCTCGGGGACTGTGGTTTAGTATTCCAAAGGAGCTAGTTCCCTGAAGCTGTTCTAGTCTATCCCCACTCTTCTTCTTCTGTTCCAGGAGCACTATGATTAAAGGGCTACAGAATCACAGAGAACTTTGGACCCTGTTTATTTCTCTTAACCCTTGAAGTTCTATTTCCAGTGAGCATCACAGTATACTATGGCCAGGCAAAACAAAACAAAACAAAACTTTTGCAGCATTAATGATACACATTTTGGTGGTTTTAATTTTGAATTGAATAAACTAAACAAGTGTTATTACCGAATTCTTAATTATACTTAACAAGGACAGTAACTTACCAACACATTGTTATGAAACATTTAGTTGATTGATATGATGTGACGCGTTTTTCTTTTTTTTCTTTTTTTTATTCTTATGTTAATCCCCTACATTACATCATTAGTTTTAGATGTAGTGTTCCATGATTCGTTGTTTGTGCATAACACCCAGTGCTCCATGCAGAACGTGCCCTCCTCAATACCCACCACCAGGCTAACCCATCCTCCCACCCCCATCCCCTCTAGAACCCTCAGTTTGTTTTTCAGAGTCCATCGTCTCTCATGGTTCGTCTACCCCTCTGATTTCGCGTTTTTCTTTTCTATTATTCGGCATTGGAATTATGTTTACTCTTTTTTTCTTAATGATGATAAGATTTCATATTCATTTCAGATTATAAAAATGACAAAAAAGATATGCATACTTTCCATATGTGAAGACCTTAATGTCTTCTATCAGGAATTAATAAACACACTTTTGGAAAGGCATTGTATCCTTCCCTCTATCACTAATAAGTCTTGCAGTGTAATAATACACACTGTGGCTCTGGGTCTGGCCAGAAGTAGCAGGAAGTTTAGAACTCATTTCCTTTCCACTGGTTTGAGCAGAAGGGATGTCAAATCTTTCTGCGAACTGTTATCAATTCAAAATACTGATTGTTCCTTGTTTAAAACTAAAAGGTAACCTTTCATCTGTGATAAGAGTGTTTTGATTTCTTCTGACATGTTTGCTAAGCTTTTGAATGTTCTTTGCTACTTGTCAAACTTTTACCTATTTCAGTATTCTGTCATCAATCCTCAAATGACGTATCAGGCTTTTAAAAATATTTAAACTTAAATTTCAGGGCACCTGGGTGGCTCAGTCGGTTAAGCATCTGCCTTCAGCTCAGATCATGATACTGGAGTACAGGGATGGAGCCCTCCCCGCTCCCCCAAGTCAGGCTCCCTGCTCAGTGGGGAGTCCGCTTCTCCCTCTCCCCCTGCTCCTTTTCTCTCTCTCTCTCAAATAAATAAATAAAATCTTTAAAAAAAATTAAATTTCAGCATTTCACCTGTGATGTGATTGTTTTCTTTACATTCGGGTTCCTTTGCATCCTTTTGAACATAATTTTTACTTTTATAGTCTTAAGATATTGTGGTTATTCTTCTATCTGACTCATTGGCATACTGGTCTGTGTTAGATGATAGATTCAGTGCCGAGATCAAGACCCAGATCAACAATGGCTTAACAAAGGCAGACATTTGTTTCTTCATTTCTTCTTATGAAACAGTCTGGCTGTTGGTGTTCTAGGGCTAGAAGAGTAGCTTTGCTCTATGAGGTTGTCCGGGAATCCAGACTTCTATCGCCACAAGGTATTTCCCATGTACATATTGTCCCAAATTACATAGTGTAAGTATCACTTTTACATTCCGGTTGGCACAAAAGTGTATGGAGGGCATTCCCTTACCTTTTAAGTCCAGCCCAAGAGGTGTGTTTATTACTATCCCAATTCCATGCGTTAGAAGTCAGTAGAGTGACTACGCCTAGCTGCTCGGCAGACTGAGAAATGTAACTTTTATTGTGAGCAGCTAAAAATCAAAGGTTTCAGTACAAAGTGAGGAAGGGGAGAATGGATACTGGATAACAAGCCTCTACCAAACAGCCTTAATTGCATGTTTCTAGGCATTGGTAACCAAAATACTTCCACTTCATACTGATGAGGTCGTTCTGGATCATTTCTAAGCAATTTCATCTTCAGGGTCAATGTAAATCAGATTTGGGGCTCTCGGTTGTATTTAGGGAAAATGGGAAAAGGATGTGGCTATTGTTCACGTTTCAGTGAAAGCCCAGTTTCTAAGGTGCACGAAATCTGGGCATGGTGTGGCACTAAGGAAACTCAAGTTGCCATTGGAGCACACTCTGATATTCTGCTATTCTCATCTGCTCAAATCCTGATGAGATTGGGAAAACGTTTTAATAAAGAAGGGTCATTGTTTTCAAGGCTCCTCTAAGGATTTCTCCCTCTTCCCCCCCACCTCTTTTTTCTCCTCTTTCTCCTTCTTCTTCCCATACTAACAGTTATCACTAGAGATGTGGATTATCCTGCCCTAAAAATCTTTCCTAGAAGCTCAACAGCCTTTTGATTGAGTTGGCTTAGACATAGTTGATTTAGTAAAATATGAAGAGGGTCAGTATGGAATACAAATAAAAGACTTCCCATCTAAGTTCTGGAGATGGTGGCAATAGGGAAACCTTAC